ATATATTACACTACAACAATTGTTACCATCTATTTACTTCAGTTTAGGATCTTGTTACTTAGTTTACTCTGTTTATATTTTAATGTACTTACTGTTTATAATTTTAATAAGCTTATTCATATTGTTTATAATTTTTCGTCTAAATATTATGTAACTTCCAAAATTCTCTATCTTTTTGTATCTTATCCGTTCTAGCCCTGAAGAAGACCTGCAAAGTCGGGTCGAAACGTTGAGTTTTAATAAAATAGTTTTGGTACTATTTAGCCTATTTATGACCGCCACCCCGGACCATCTCCTTCCTTTACAGTAGTTTAAGGTTAAGAATTTACCAGGATATGGAGAATCTTGATGGGATAGAAATATTTAAGCCAACCACTGCAGAAGATATGAGAAAATTATATTTTTTTATTTCAATTATATCAAATTATAGAGAATTGGTAGGGTAGTCTGGAATATTGTCCTCTGCATATTACAGCAAAAATTCCATGTTGCACATCGGCATGTACTTTTTTTTTCTTTTTCTTGTTTGTTCTCTTAGGTATAGAGGTAATCTTTTAATTTAATTTTAAAACATAGTTTAATATTAATATTTTTTAAAAATGTGTATTTATTGTTTTATGTGTATTTATTTATGCATGTTTTTGATAATTTTAGATTTTATATTAATTTGATAATTGGAAATATTATAGCTGTCTGATTTTTACCGAATATGATTTTTAATTTATGCTTAAAATTGTTGTAATATCTGTTATCTGGTATAAAAAGAAATTTATATTTCAGTAAGGATAATAATGTTTGTTATTTTGTGATTGATTCCATTTGTATAGGGTTCTTCACTTAAAACAAATAAAGATTGAATTGAATTGAATTAGTACTGTTGAGATAGTTGCCGACTCTATCATTAACCCTGTTAATATAGACAGTTGTGAAAAATTCACAACTCTTGGTTTCCACAGAATTTAGAAATAATTTGTTAAAGAAAGAAACTTCTCTGATGAAGGGATATTTAATCATTGACCTTTGAAATCTTAACCCTTTTACTTTCCCATGGGACGAATAGAACCCTTTCCCTTTTTGACGTCATCATCGATCCCCTTTTAAATGCCTATCCCTAAATTCTCGAAGGCATTTCAATTCCAGTCACACATATCTTGAAAGATCTCCATGGCAACTATCAACAAACCACTTAAGTCATATTCCAATACTCTTGTATTTATTTATTTAATTAAAGTTTAAGGTTCCATGTACAACAAAGGTTAGAGGCACTATGTTTCTGTTACATAATTTAAACCATTTTATATAATTTGTTATCCTTCAAAAATTGTAGCAAGGATTTCAAATTCTTCTTTCGCTGCTTTTAAGATGCGGACAGAAATAAAATGTATTATGTGGGAGCACGCACCAAAGACTTTCATAATATCTATAATAGTTTTATAGTTGGATGAATAAAATGTTTTTCTTTAATATAACAAATAAATAATTAATCAACTATATTAAAACGCCACGTGTGCTTTAAAAAAATTGCAATTATAACGGAGAATAGATATCAATAAAAACAAGAATTATTATCTAGCATGAGAGCATTAAATTTCAAGAAAAAGTTCTCTACTAATTTTAATGTTCTCTTACACAAGAAAGGTCAGAAATGTAAAATAAATGTATTCTATAATAAATATTCAATTTCGTTTGTTTTTTTTAGTTTGTCTAGTTTAGATAATATTGAAGATGCATAATTATGCAATGTTACATAAAACATGCAAATCATTCTATTTATAAACAATATTCTATAAAAATTATTATAAATAAATTAAATTGTAATTAATGTCTGATTAAAATTCCATTATAGAATCTTCTAGTCCAGTTTTATTATGATTTCAAGGTATTCTTGAAAATCAGCAACCTCAGTTAATCATGTTTTTCTGCAGTGATTTTTAAAGAGTTTCGTGTTCAACGCTATAAATGAATTTTTGCATGGACACTAATAATAGATTTGAATGACATTGAAAGATAGAAGCTTTGTTTTCGACTATTTTCAAACTGTTTTCGACAAATTCCTCATACAGCCTGAGGAGTAGGTGAAAAATTATCATACATTTATTTTTACTAGCAAACATTATATTATAATATGGTCACTTAGCTTTTGCTATTCAAGCAATTCAAAACATAATACTAACAGTATATTTTATTTATACCTATGTTTTATAACAATACTTAATTAATTTTTAATCTTTACTACTTGACAGTATATCAACTGTAATTATTGCTACAAAAAAAAGTATCTAATTATCATAAAATTTAAATTTTATAAACTTATTTTTTGGCTCTAATGAGAATGTGGGACATAGCAGTTAAGATCGACGATTTGCTACAATTAAAAAATAAATAATTAATTAAAAATGTCTGTACTTCTATAACACATGAAGGTTTAGAGGTCGTGATTGCTGATTGTGGTGAAGGGTTGCCAAAGCTAAATATTCTCGGCTCTAGTGGCGCCGCACAGCGAAATAAAAAAAAAAGTTAAAATTTTGAATGTTTGAATGTTTTGATACAAACCTAATATGGTTTACCTGTCACACTCAGCAATTTTAACGTAAATATCGCATTTATATGAGAAAATAGGAAGGAAAATTATCTTTTCTATATTGAGAGCTCGTTTTCCTGTATTTTTTTTAAGTAAATACTTCCTTAGGCGCGTTTTGCACTTTTTTTTTTTGAAGAGTGAATTACATTGAGCCGTCAGATCACCGATGTGAAACGCTCGGGTAAAGTCGGTTGGAGTCGACTAATCGAAGTGTTTTTGCATATGTATTAAAATATCTTAAAAACTAAAAATCGGCCCTGCATATTGTAAGCGAGGGAAATGTTCATGATTTCATCCTCTTTGTAAATGAGCTATTATACAAAATTTTATCTTAACGCGACGTCGTGTCAGAGAGACGAAAAGAGGAAAAAATAGTGTCGAAAAGCGAGAGAAGTGTTCATTATAGCATTCTGTTTATAATGAGCTATTAATTATTATTTATATATCATATTATTAATCCCGCCGTGTTGATATTTCCACTTCCATCGTGTGGATTAAAGCACGTACCTTAGTTGTTTTTTTTTTTCAAACATAATAGTTTGTGCTGAGCAGAATCATACACTTATAGAAAGTACTAGGACAGCAGAAATGTTGTTTTTAAAAATATGTGTAATTATTACGACGCTTCAAAAAATTTTAAACAATTTGATGAGGAATAAATCTCGACCTTCCCACTATGGCTAGAATACGTTTGGTTGTAGCTCGAGAACAATTCTTCCTCTTCGTATGGCAAAAATTGTGAGTTAACGAGAAAAAAAAAAAAAAACAGAAACGATTTTGGGTTCACTGCTTAGTAAGGAAGTATTGTTTCCAGGCCTACTGTTGTGGAAGGAGGTGATTGGGACAGAACCGTGCTCAACCGCCAGGTTTTTCTTAACAATAAAAGGTATTGACTTGTAGAGGCTGTGTGCCACAAAAGAGTCATCCGGTACCAAGGTCGAGCCACAACTGATGTAACAGAATAATTAATGATCTGTCATAGATCATTAATTATTCGAATAGGACTCCGACACAATAAATAGCAACGCCAGGAATTTTGCTGAGCTACGTATATATATATATATTCGTATATGAAATTTACGAATATAGTGATTTAACACATAAAATTTTAAAGTAGAACTTATAGTAATTCCAAGTGATTAGATTATCCCATTGAGAAATATCCCTCCAGTTTAATAGTTAGGCATTAAGCCACAGTTATCCCTGAACTTAAAATAATCAATTAGTAGTCAGACATATTTGTCTGGTACACAATAGCCTTGGTTTGTTGTTATCTCACTTACTTAGACTACAGAAGTATGTTACTGAGAGAATAAAAGAAATAGCTACGTATTTATTTTATTTTTTTATTAAAAAATATCACAATGTGTATTTATATATAATCCGCCCAAGGGGTCAGGTAGCTCCTTACCTAAAACCTTTTCAATAAAATTTTATTTTGTTGAAGGATATCATAAATAATGTAGAGATAGTTGACCGTGATATAATATGAGAAGGAATTGATTGGGGGTGCTGTAAAAGAACTAATTTTTTTTAAAAAAGTATTTTTAATTACGCCGACGTTTCGAACCATCTTGCAGTTGTCTTCATCAAAGCGTGGCATGTGGCACTACAGGAGGCAGTTTATAGACTGGTGGTTCGAAACGTCGGCGTAATTAAAAATACTAATTTAAAAAAAAATGTATTTTTATTTTATTTTATTGAATAATAATACAATCAGCCACTGTTGGAGGGCTATAATTATTAAGGCTAGAAGTTCTCATTCATACAGTATATACAAGTAATAAAGAAATAACTATAAATATAAAAAGTAAATAAATAATACTGATAAAAAAAATGTAAATCAATAGGAAAAAAAAATAAACAAACAAAATAAAATAAAAACTTCTAAACACATTCATACCCATATACAATTAGTATTTATTTGACAGCACCCCCAATCAATTCCTTCTCGTATTATATCACGGTCAACTATCTCTACGATCGCAACCCCCGACCAATTCCTTCTGATATCATAAATAATTTATAATAAGAATTATAATTTATAATAATAAATAATAAGAATTTATTTAGTTTTTTTTTTCTATCATTTGTATTTCTTTATTACTTTTCTTTATATTTTTAGCTATCATAGATTATTTTATTTCATTTCTTATTTGTATTGTATATAGTTCTAGTATTTTGTAAATAGTCTCATTAGTTTGATTTTTTATACATAGTTTGTTTACTTAATGTTTTTTACCTATATATTTATTTAATTTAACAATATTTTGGTCAGATTTTATTATTATTTTTTTTTTTCTGTAGAACTCTGTTATTCTAAAGGGACTTCTTCTAGTGTTATATTATCGTATAGTGTAGACAGACCACTTGGAATGAAATAAATAATTAAATACGTTACAAAAGGAAAGGACCCTACCTTTTGCTTCTTCTGGTAGCCCGGTATGTCGCAGCCCAATTTGAGGTGCGTGGCCAAACTCATGGCTTCCCTCACCCTCAGCTGCGGGCGAACCATGTCGTCCTGCTGGATGTAGCAAGAGATCTTCTTGAACTCCTCTAGGCCTTTGGAGACACCGCGTTCATCGTTGTTCACGCGAATCGAACCTCCACTACCTCGGACCCTGTGAAGAAAAAATAAATGTAAAACCCACTTGTACTATTGTAGAAGAAATCTATATAATTAACATAAAGGTTTTGTCTGTACATTGAATATAATCAACCCGTTCAATGTGTCTTTCCGTTTCATACATTACAAACACCAAATATACTCTTAAAAAATGTTTGTCTATCTGTATGTCTGCATTGTCTAACGAAATTTTGCCAGCGATTAATTCAACAATGGCTAATGGTAGAGTTTTGAAATTTTTACATTAGTTTGTTTGATTTAAAATAGGCTTTGAGTAATAAAAAAATATTAAGTAGAACCGAAGTTATGAAATACTCGCTTCATGGTAATTGAAAATTAAACACTTAAAAAATTTTAATGGATTGGTGGTGGTCTGTTTAGATGTGTGGCACCTAAACAAACAGCCGCATAACACTGTTTTTATTATGACCATTGCGAAATCTTGTCTCCCATAAAAAATTTCAAAACCAACCCCCCACCGAATTTTATGAAATTAAATTTGGATTCCTCTCCTCCAATATCTCACAAAAAAATATTCTCAAATTTTAACTATACACCCGTCAACGACGGGTACATCAGCTAGTTATATAATAAAACAAATTGAAATTGTAAATATAATTTTAAGTTAAGAGCTACTGACTCGGAATTGAATCTGTGCGCATGTCTCACGACTGAGAGCGTAGTAAACCTGGTTTCACGGCCTTAGGTCGCATTGAGCAAGTTCAAGTCGACATTACGTTAACTGAATCCAAAGAGAATGTCTCAGTTCAGCGAGCATTCCCTACTAGGATTGGCGGTCGTAATATAATACTATATATTGGGTCTCAATACTGTTCCTTGGAACTGAACCATGGCTTCAGTTCATTTTTTATGACCTTTAGTTCATTTGGAGGAATGTTGCCATAAAATTATAATGAAAAATATTGACATTTCGGAGTTCGATGATTTTAATATTTGAGAAAAGAAGAATAAGATTAATACTAAATTTTTAATAGCTTTAATTTTTAGAAACCTACACATAATTGTTTTTAAAACTCAATAATGAATGAAAGCTAAAAAAACAATTTAATTTTCACTATTAAAAAACGTCTGCCAAGTATGGTCAGTATAGCTTCCTCACCGTTTTCATTTGCTAAAAAATATCTGTATTAAAAGGTCTACATAATGTCTAAAATAGAAGAAAAAAAAATTGAAAACTTTAACACACGACCTTAGTAATCCAAAGAAAAAATTCAACCTTTTGTTTTTTAAGGGTTAACGAGAACAATACTTTTCTTCAGTGAGAACAAAACTAATTAAGCTGGAATATAAAAATATGAGTGAAGTTGGCACAGTTTTGATATTTAAGGAGAATTTCGAGACCACGACGAGCTGATTGAATTTTAACGGAAATAAACACAAACACAAATAAGACTTTTTTTTTACAAATCCAGAGTAAAAATTACTTTAAATTACACGAAGAACTCTATTATAAATATCCTTTATTGAGACAGATTGTAATATTTATCAATAAAAAAATAATCAATTAAAAAAAAAATACACGATATCTAATCGACGATTCGGAATCGGACCATGCATTAAATAAATTTCTTTGTTGGAAATTTTGTCTAGAACCACCCTCCAGAGTTTAGCCATTAAGAAGTGAGGCACACTCAAATTATTTATAGATATTTGCCCATAGATATATTTCAACCTATCTATACCATGAATCCTTGTAGAACTCTTATCAAAAGGGTCAAGCAAATACGAATGACTTGAATGTTTGAGGAGGTAATGGCCAAGTCCTCAAATATTGAACCTTCTATCCATGTCATGGATGCGGACTGTTTAGAAAGATGAGCTTTTCGAAAAACATTAACAACAAGCCTTTTTTCAGGTCACAACCTTCAAATAGGTATATTCGAGTACCTACCTACATCCGTAAAGCAAAGAATGATGTAGGTATTTTAGAAGGTAAGTTGAAAGTTGTGATGTTCGCTAGGTCAAATCATCCAAATAGAATGGTTAAAGACACCGACAGTTTTTGTGTTTAAATTGGTCAATCTGTTCGTTACAAAGTTCGTTACAAAGTTCAGTACTAGATAACTTTAAACAAGTATATATATACTTTTTTTTTTAATTTTTGTTACAACAATCTGTCTCTTGGAAATTTATGAACTGATAAAGTATTTTGGGAATTAAAGGTGGATTTTTAGTGATAAGTTTTTATTTACCTACTTATACTACTCAGCTTCATATATTATATATATATTTAAAATCATATCACTCTCTAAAACTCATGAAAAAATCTGAGAATCTAATTTCAATTTAAAGCCATCATAGAACCACTAAAAGCATAAAATGTTTTAGAAGTGAAAATTTCTTTAGACGTTTTTTGCACTATTGCACCATATGTAACGCTCGGGTAAAATCGGCTGGAGTCGACTAATTGAAGCGTTATTGCATATGAATTAAAATATCTCAAAAAATATTATTCAAAATTGTATCTTAACGCAACGCCGTGCCAGACAGGCGAAGATTGAAAAAGTAGTGCCGAAAACGAAATAATGACCAGTTTCATTAAAGATGTGGATTAAAATATTTCAGAAACCAAAAATCTGATCTGAATACTGTAAACGAGGGAATGGTTCATCATTTCATCCTCTCTGTATTGAGCTATAATTCAAAAATTTATCTTAACGCGACGTCATGTTAGGGAAGTGAAAAGGAAAAAAAAAGAATGTCGAAAACCTAATGATAACTTTTCCCTCATTGTTAAAATTATAAACCTTAAATTAAAATTATTATGCTTATACCACCTTACAAGTATTAATATTCTTGTATCATTTTATTCATATATATGATATCGATGCTTGCACTACATTGAAATGACTTCATATTCTTGACTAACTTTGTTTTTAAAAAATCTTGAAACATATGATTTATATGCATTTCTACGATTTTTCAAAGAGCATGGATACATTACTGAGCCTTGGATGGGACCCTTTGCCCCACTCTCCCTATTCACCAGACCTAGCTCCAAGTGATTACCATAAATCCATGGGAGAAGACATAAGATGGGGAAAAGTCATATTAAATAATGGTCGACATATTGTAAATTAAAATAAATTTTTTTGTCTTGTAGTACATTGAGTTTTATTTCACCCTGAAAAACCGAAAGGATTTATACATTTAGAATACAGTTTTTCTACATTTAATTTGAATATATGTATCTTGAAAAACTAATTACGATATATATAATTGAATAGTGGCTCGAATACAATTAGAAAATCAAATAAATATTTAAAAATATATAACATGATATAATGTAATGTAACATACGTGTAGCCAGAGAGGATGTTGAGGAGCGTTGACTTGCCCGCACCAGAAGGCCCCATGATAGCCGTCAGCTCTCCGGAGCGGAACTCTCCGCTGACCCCGTGTAAGATCTCTTTCTTCTCTGAAACATAAAACATAACATAAATATGTAATGAAGAAAATAAATAATAATATTAAAGAAAGCAAGAAAATATCAGGTGAAAAACAGTATAGTTAACAATTTTTTACTTTGTTACCTTTGTTACCTATACTAGGTAAGGAAAGTATTGCAATCGGGCCAAATTTCCGACATGCTGTTTTCGACGGATCTATAGTCCGAAAAACACACTTTTAGCCATTGATCTGTCTGTCTGTCTGTCTGTGACTACTGAACCGATTTTGTTGCTTCTTTTTTTATTTTGTAGGGTTTTGACTACTGATGCCTGTGACAGAAATTCGGTGCTCCATGCGCAATAGCTTGCGCGCAATAAATGAAAAATATGTTTTTCTATGGACTGCGCGAAAACGGCTCTAACGATTTTGATGACACTTTCCTATAATGTTCTAATCATTGTTCTTTCAATATTCGTATATAGACAAAAGTCCCGAAAAAGTTCAGGAAAAAAAAGTTATAAAGAAAAGAAAAATGTTATGGGGCCTAACTCCCTAAGTATATATCATACGGTAAAATTTATTATAAAACTTTTTAAAAGTAATTAAATTACCAACAAAACAAAAAAAATCGTTTATTTTGGACAACTATTAACGAAGTTACAGCTATTCAATTTCCAATGTAAGATTACGGTTTCATATCCTGGTGTCAGAATGGTGTGAATGAGAGAATAAAGATGACTAAGTGAAAGTAAGAAAATCTGTTGCCCGCATCACACAATCTTCACTATTTCCTCTACTTTTAACAGAAATTATTGTTTGACAATACTAAGCTATGCCAAAAAGTTTTTGATTAGGAAGTATTGAAATTTTTACACTGATCTACCTTAAGCCGGTTTACATTGCTTTAGTTTATCAAATAAATCGTACTCAAATCTTATGTTTGATAAATTTTCAGGAAAATGTATCTAGTTCAATTATGTTTTGTTTCTTCATGAACATATGTAAAGATATAAAAACTTTTCTGAAATAGGTAGGAAAGTCGTGTGAGTGGACACACCAGATATTTTTGTTTGGCTTTACAAAACTTGTAGATCTTTTGCCGCCTTAACCAGCCTGCTGCTTCACTGCCTGTCTTGGGCTATTTATTTTCAGTTGTCCGCACGCAGCTCTATTGCGTCTTTGTTGATTCTATCTATTTTTTGGCCTCCCATGTGGTCTTTTGCCTTCTATTGAGGCATTCATTGTTACGTAAAGGCTTCCAAATCGATTGCTAGGAAATACATGCTCCGCCCATCTATACCTCCGTGTCTTCATATCATAAGGATATGGATTGACCAGTTTCTGTAAGCAGATCTTTTTGGTCTTCCTTCTGCTTGTATTAGTACTCTGATCCCAGATCGCTCCGGTTAACCTGCGCAGGATTTTTCTTTCAAATCCTTCAATACTTGCTGAGAAAAGGAGTGTTATTTACAATAAAGCAAGAAGAACTTTTAAAAAAAAGTAAAAGGTTTCTTTCGTGTTTATTCATTTTACATTTTTTACTGATAACGGTTCGGACCAACTGATGTTCATGGTACAGTTCACGGAATACCCCAGAAATTACATATTGCTTACTTAATTTCTGTCTGAACAATATAGTTTAGACAGACAAATTTAAATGTGTTAAAGCATGAGATATGGATGGACAACGGGAAAATTTATTCAACATCCTTCAAGAAACAATTACCAAGTAGCTCAGACAATATGAGGAAACAATTCTTGAAAATGTATAGGAAGTTATTGAAGTTATGTAAAATCGAAAAATTAATTGCTATTTCCATTAACACAGCTTTGAATATGGGATGATCAGTAAATAATGAAAAATATTTAAAGAAGTGATAGTAAACCTCAACAGGAACGAAACAGTTTACATGAGCAATATAATGTCGTACAGCGATGATCTGTCCCTTGTCACTTCAAATAATTTTTACAATTTGTCATGAGTGAGAATATGATAAGGGAATGCAACGAAACAAAGTGTAATACTGACAATAACAAATGGCGAGAATGAAAAAAATGGCGGGATTCACAGTATGTTTTGAAGAAAAGCGCTGCTATAGTTTTGTCAAAAATTTCCGATATGGATCAATTTGGTTTCTTGTTCTAACGAAAACCGTTTATAATTGTGGATTGATGGTTGAATATAGTGAATAGAATAATTGAAGAGAATATTGGTTGTGGTCAGTCAAAAAAATGTAAAAATAAATTTACTTTCAAAATAAGTATATTTATTTTTATTGTTGCCAAATGTGCTCTCGACCAATCTCCGCTGGCTTTAGTACCAGTGATGCGGTTGGGAGAGTAGCGCAGGCTTCTCCTGGAGTTCCCTCGCCTGATTGTATATAGGTATGCATGTGTTTTTTTTTTGTTTTTTTTTCCTTAGTTTTAATTTTCTTATTTTTTAGGTTATTTTATTTTATTGTCTATTGTATATACTTTTGATTATTATTTTGTTCTATTTATTTTATTTTTTTGTACATATGGTATGAATGTCATCCTACCTCACTATAACCAATGTCCAACAGACAGATTGTTATAATACTCAATAAAGAAATTTAAAATTGTTGCCAACGTTTCGGCCCAAAGTACAGGCCTTCATCAGCGCTTGTTAAAGGAAAGATTTTCGCAAGAACAAGTATACGAGATTTATGAGATGAGACCTCGTTTATAAGAAACCCGTTTATTGGATACTAAATATTTGACTGTTGTATTATTAAAGAAAGAGATGGTCCGGGGTGGCGGCCATAAAAAGACTAAATAGTGACAAAACTATTTTATTAAAAGCCAACGTTTCGACCGGATTTTGCAGGACTTCTTCAGGGCTAGAACGGACAAGACACAAAATGATATAGAGAATCGTGGAAGCTACATCATATTTAGATAAAAAATTATAAACTAATTAAAATTATAAACCGTAAGTACATTAAGAACAATAAGTTTTATAAACAGAGTAGGCTATGTAAGAAGATCCTAAACTGAAGTTTTGAAACCCGTTTATGTTTCGAGACCGAAGTGAGATCGTCAAAAAAACTGATCGAGAAACTTAACCGTGTAAAATGTCGAAAAATAAAAGGATAAATAGACAAGGAGAATTCTATAGATGGACAACATGGCAAACAAATATGGCAGGACTAAAGTCGATAGCAAGGAAATTCACACTCAAAAGAAGATGAAGAATACGGAAGAAGACTCATGAGTCCTTGTTCTACGAAAACATAATTAGGCACTTCGTGACTTACATCCCTAGATTGCCTTTTTCCCCCAAGGATAGTTTACTTCAGAAAAACTAGCATTTTTAATACAATATTTTCATAGATTACCATTTTATAAAGTATGCCGTATGTAAATTTTACCAAGACATGAGATTTTTTTTAGAGATAAGTCAGAAGTCATAAAAAAGCCAAAAGGACTTCCCCGAGGTAGACCTTGCTTTTATCAGCTTTTCTGTTTACTTAACAGCTAGAGTTGAACAAAAACACAATTAAGTAGAACAAAATCACTACTTTAATACAGATTTTAACTTCAAAGATAAGGACACATGAAACTTCAAGTTTGAGATAATACCAACCCTTATTGGATAGTTGTACAATAAAATAGAAAAAATATAAGTGTTTTGAACACCGAAACAGAGTCCATCAATAGTATAAAGGCTGAAATTGTTTTTGAGAAAAATCTGAGCGAGTGTAAAATTGGTGTATGAAGTTGAACTTCAGATATGAAGATTTTAACGAAACAGCTACTATAATATTCCAGTCATATACCAACCATAAATAAATAATTTAGGTTTCGAACAACTTTCCGTTTTTTAGTTATGCTGTTCAAATAAACAAACACAAACCTTCGTATACTTCGTTATTGGGACTCAGGAGGAATTAAAACGTATATTGTGGTCAAAACGTGGGAAACGACTTCCACAAACGCAATACTCCTTTACAATGAATTACAGACTAAAAAAAAAATTAAATACTGATTAGAAACCAAATTAAAAAACGCGGCAAATTATTTCAAAATGGTTTATTATTTCCAAACAATTATACATCTAAAGTTACATTACCTGCCTAGTGACAGCGAAAAAGAAATAAAAGGTGATTCCAATTATTGGGCTAAACGTTTTTTTTTTTTAAATCATTCGTAATATGCTAAAAAAATTAGCATTACTTGAGTAACGCATTCAAAAATCAAAAACCAAAACGAAGGATATAAAGCTTTGCAGTACAGTTATTTTTTCTTTTTGGGGGAAGGGGTAATTTTACTATGGAATAATATAATTAATCTAATTTTACCATTCCTTGTAACTTTTTTCCAGCTTCTTTTAGTTGAAATATTTTACATAGATAAATTTAAAGAGCATCGAGAAGAAGACTTTAGCGAAGTTTCATTGAAATCCGCTACATTCGTTTAGGAGCTAGTTTATAGCAACGCAGTTTTTCGGTCGCCATTTTGAAAGGAAAAGGCGGATAGAAATTTCGATGAAGGAGGAACATCCTCGCGTCATCTCTATTTTTAAATCCAAATTTTAAAAAAATCGGTCCAGTAGTTTCGTAGGAAATTCGCGGACGCCGAACGGACAGACAAAACTGTATTCGTTTTTCGAATTCTACGTATCCTGAAACGTAAAACCCCAAATTTTGAGAGGGTGTTAAGTTTTTAAATTGTTTTGTACGATCACAACGGTTCATTATTGAAAAGAATAAACCAAAATTTACACATGATGTGATATGTATAATGGGTGGGAATTTTGGAAAGAAAAGAGTATCAAGGATGGGAAAGACTACATTGACAGTTTCAATAGAAGCAGACTTTGGAAATAGGCCTAGGATAAGTTCTGTATATAGATAAATTTAAAGGGCATCAAGAAGTAGACCTTAACGAAGTTTGATTGAAATCCGTACATTCGTTTAGGCGCTACAGCCTATTGCAACGCAGTTTTTTCGGTCGCTATCTTGAAAGGAAAAGGCGGAAAGAAATATCAATGAAGGAGGATCATCGTCG